CAAACAGAATGAACAGATCTGCCTCAACAAAAGAAGCCAGCATTTCTCCTATGGAAAACCTTTCGAAGAGCTGATTTTATGGCTTGGTTTCTCAGACTATAGATCATTGGGTTGAATGTTGGGGGTACAACTGTGTACGTAATAGCAGGCAAAATGTCCAGTGCACTGGGAGAGTCGGAAGGGGGCTTGAGAAACTCAAAGGTGCTGGTTGAAATAAATAAAATGACCACAGCGAGGTGGGGAAGGCAAGTGGAGAAGGCCTTCGCTCTGCCCTCAGCAGATGGCATCCTCAGCACAGTGGAAAATATCTGGATGTAGGACAGTCCAATGAAGGTGACAGAAAAAAAGGCCACAACAGCCAGGAAGGCACTGACCCTGACCTCGCTGATGTACTCATTGGAACAAGAGAGTTTCAGGAGCTGGGGGATGTCACAGAAGAACTGGTGAATGACACGGGAGCCACAGAAGTGCATGGAGAAAGTGCCAGCTGTGTGCATAGTTCCAGTTATGACCCCGCTGACCCAGACGCCCAGGACACTGTGAACACATTTGTTGATGTCCATGATGATTTCGTAGCGCAGTGGAAGGCAGATGGCCACGTAGCGGTCATAGGACATCACTGTCAGCATGGACAGCTCAGTAGCAGCAAAGAGAGTGAAAGCAAAGCACTGCACTATGCACTCCCCGAGGGAAATGTAGCCACTGTGCGTGAAAGAGTTGTAAATGGACCTTGGCACCGTCACGGAAATGTAGCACAGGTCCAGGAAGGAGAGATGTTTCAGGAAGAAATACATGGGTGAGTGCAGACTACTGTCCATGGAAGTCACGATGATAATGAGGAGATTACCAGTCAATGCCACCAGGTATAAGACTAAGAACAGAGAGGCATGGACGAGTTCTAGCTCAGGCTTGGAAGAAAATCCCATCAGAAGAAACCCACTCATAGTGGAATTAGCCATAGTCCTTTTTAACATTTGTATGATGTTTGCTGTAGGACAAGATGGAAGGAAACATTTGGAAATTTTTTTTTAGTTAAGCACCTAACTCACCTTAAGTTCCATGTCGTTAAGCAAGAAGTCAATTGAAGAAATCACTATTTCATCATAAATATGAAGTTGTCTATTCTAGTAATCATGTGGAGCAATTTTCAGTGACTTTCACTCAGTCATGGAAACATGGGTAAAGAGGATTATCAATGTCAGTACTCTCCATTCAATCAAAGAAAATGAAATGTAAATATATGTAAGAAGTTAATAAGATTTTATAATACAATTTTATTTTGAAGATCGGGAACATGAGGACTTATTTATGTTACAGGTTCCATACAGTTCATTTAGAACTGTATATACAGCTCACACTTAGAAGTGTCTTCATTACCTCCTTATCTTGTCATCACTGTGTGTCCCAATAATGCTCCAACTACAGTGGTTTTATCATCACACCTTTATATTTCTGTTTTATGTATCAGAAGAAAAATGACTAAAGGCTTCTCTTCTAGATAAAGAATTATTTTCTCAGAATTAAAATTATGAATCATCAAACTGATAGCACCAATCCAATCGTTATGATACATAAATAAGCATTTTCCTTAGCATATAATATAATAAAAATAGATCTGATATGTTATTCCCAAATGGAAAAGAACAGAACTTTCCCAATGTATTTTGTAAGAAATTACTTTCTTTCATATTACCTGAGAAAATTATTTACTGATTCTGAAACAAAATGTGAAGCTACTATGAGATATAATTTTTATCCCAACACATTAGTCAAGATGCTCAAACAAAATACTATTAATTATGAAGACGTCTGTTACATGCTTCTGAAGAGACTGACTATAGACCCCAGAATCAGTGTTGTGAACTAATGTTACATCACTAAAGTTCACACTAATGAAAAACAATGAATGTGATGCTTAGTTCATAAAAATAAAAAGACAAAGCTTAAAACCTGTAACAGTATGATCATGTTTGTGTGTGCTTTTTAGAAAAGTCAATTATTTACGAAAATCCTTAAAGCAATCTGCATCTTAAATCACATAACTTGATAGCTAGATGACATTTTTAATAATACACATGAATAATTAGTAGTTTAAAAATTATGTCCATTTATTAATGGTTCATATTTACGATAGCCAAGATACAGCAGAACTTAAGTACCAGTAAATACATGTGGGTGACCTGGTGGGAAAGCTGCAGTGACCACTCGAAGGTGGAAAATCTTACATTGTCAAAAAAAGAACAAGGATGCAAATCAATGGTACTTCATTAAAAGTATAAACACTAAAAAATAAAATGCATCTGCAAAAATATGAGTAGAATTACTACAACAGCAAAAAGTACTGATGAATCCTAAAATTGAAACTAATTATTTTCATGATGATATTTCAGTTGTTCTGGAAAATAATCATGCTGAGAAACTAAAGTGAAGGATCACTCCCTGATGTATCTTAGTTTAAGTTAGCAAATATATAAACAATATGTACTCTTGACAAGAACACTATGATTATGTTTAAACATAAAAAAGGGGCTCTCCCTGGTGGCGCAGCGGGTTAAAGCACCGCATTGTGAAGCTCTCTGAAGCCACTGCAGCACGAGTTCAATCCCTGGCCAGAGAGCTGACCCACAGGGCGCGGCTGACCTCTCCTGACCCACCTGCTGCCCACCTCAGCAGTGTATTTCAGTGTTTCTGTCTGTTCTGCTCCCCGCTCTGTCCTTGTCAAATCCTCTCACCAACCACACCTCTGGCCTGTGCCCCAGTTCTGTAAGCATAAATAAATAAATCTTTTTTTAAAAAATACAAAAAGGAAAATATATACTTAAGTATAAATTATATGTACCTCAATGGCCTGTGTATGAGCATGTGGTTATCTAAAAAGAACTTTGTTATATTATGGATTATAAATATCTAACCAATAACATAATGAGGCCATAATTCTACATGATACCAAGTTTAAAGAAAGGGAAAAAAGTGAAGGGACTTGAAGTGCCTCTTTTGTTGATTCTTAGGTATTACTTCATATCTTTATGACACATTATATTAGAACAAAACGATAGTTACCTTTCTTCCTCAAAGAAAATTTTAATGTCTGTGTAAATCCAGAAATTTACACTATTAATTCTCTTATTTCATTAATCTCCAAAATATTCACAGTTGTATCACAAAAAAAAAACTTTCAAAAATTGATGCCTCTATCACAGTTTTAGATGAATATTGATGCTCTTAAGCATTATTGTTAAAAATAATGTTACTGAGGGCCCTCCCTGGTGGCGCAGCGGGTTAAAGCCCAGCACCAAGAAGCAAAGCCACTTCAGCATGAGTTCAAACCCCACCCTGGAGGTGACCAGGGTGCAGCAGACCTCTCCTGACCCACCTGCTGCTCCCCTCAGCAGTGTACTTTGT